TTTATCAAAATTTAGGATTTCAGCGTTTCATACATTTATAATCCTGTAATTCTTCAGTGTATAGCTCTAAACTCCATGGTGGAGGAGAGGATGTGAGTGCTGAGCCCCAGAGCCCTGGAGGGATGGGGAAAAGGATCCACAATTCACTGGGGAGCTTCTATCAAACCAATCTTTTATCAAAATTTAGGATTTCAGATTTTCATACATTTATAATCCTGTATAAATATGTGGTCAAAGAGAGGATGTGTGAGCTGCACCCCGTGAGTAACCTGGGGATCTGATCCCTCCATCCTGCGCCTTGGAAGACTGGGAGAGGATCCACAATTCACTGGGGATCTTCTATCAAACCAATCTTTTATAAAAATTTAGGATTTCACCATTTCATACATTTATAATCCTGTAATTCTTCAGTGTATAACTCTAAACTCCATGGTGGAGGAGAGGATGTGAGTGCTGAGCCCCAGAGCATTGAAGGGCTGGGAGAGGATCCACAATTCACTGGGGAGCTTCTGTCAAACCAATCTTTTATCAAAATTTAGGATTTCAGCTTTTTATACATTTATAATCCTGTAATTGTTTAGTGTATAGCTCTAAACTCCATGGTGAAGGAGAGGATGTGTGAGCTGCACCCTGTGAGTGCTGACCCTCAGAGCATTAGAGGGATGGGGAAAAGGAGCCACAATTCACTGGGGAGCTTCTGTCAAACAAATCTTTTATCAAAATTTAGGATTTCAGCTTTTCATACATTTATAATCTTGTAATTGTTTAGTATATAACTTTAAACTCCATGGTGGAGGAGAGGATGTGTGAGCTGCACCCCGTGAGTGCTGACCCTCAGAGCCCTGGAGGGATGGGGAAGGAGCCACAATTCACTGGGGAGCTTCTGTCAAACCAATCTTTTATCAAAATTTAGGATTTCAGCTTTTTTTACATTTATAATCCTGTATAAATATGTGGCCAAGGAGAGGATGTGCGAGCTGCACCCTGTGAGTGCTGAGCCCTCAGAGCATTAGAGGGACAGGGAAAAGGAGCCACAATTCACTGGGGAGCTTCTGTCAAACCAATCTTTTATCAAGATTTAGGATTTCAGCATTTCATACATTTATAATCCTGTAATTCTTTAGTGTATTACTCTAAATTATCCAGAGTCAGCTGCTGCTTCCCCATTTTTACAAAACCATTCCTCTCCAGGCCTGGGAATCAACAACACCTCAGTGCCTCAGGCCCTGAGAGATGGCAACAAAACTGAGTTGGGGGAGCAAACTTGGGGTCAACAACTTCATAACCTGAAGTTGTAATGGGAAGATT